AAGTTGTGGCAGGCGAGTGTCAGGGCCTCCCTCAGGGGTGAACACGACCCCTCGTTCAGGCCTCAAGGACATATCCTGTGGTCAGCACTGGGTGTGCACTCTAAGGCCACTAGGGAGCGCCTATATGAGGCCAGGTGGGTGCACTGTATCTATGGCCAAATCACTGATTCTCCAATAAGCTTCGAATCTTCAGATTCAGATTTGGCCAAATTGAATTGGGGACAGTAATCCAAATCAATGAATCGAATCACTGTCCCCAATTCTGGCCGAATCCAAATCAAATAGGGCCTGCTTTGCACATCCCAAATGAATATCAAATGGTGTTGAATGCCAATTGGCTGTAAAAATGTTGAAGTGAAGTCTGGTTCATTGAAAGCTGGTCTCTATAGCCAGGCCTTGTTTTCATCTAGAGATATGGCATAATTCTGTGTATCCTTTAATTAACTAGAATAACTGGGTAACTGGATCTTTAGTTGGACTAATTTATCCACTCTCTTACAGTGTAATTTGCATGAGCTAATGCTGTAATTATGCATTATACTTCTAGTTTCACTCACTCACACAGATGTTACATGTTAGGTAGATAAAAGCATGCACCATGAGCATTTTGCCAGAAAACTACTGGGTAATGCAGAGAATCTGGGAGCATTTACAAGAGATGTTTACTGCGGAGCTGCCTAATTGGCTCTGCAGTAAAGTCTCAGTGTCTACATATTCAGCCCTATTAGGCTGCAGCAAACTAATTAATTCCACCATAGGTTAGCACTTATAACACAGGTACTGTTCTGTGGCAGTGTTATATAGTGGACAGCAACACACATGTAGATGCTGACGGGGCTGGCTGGGGAACAAGGCTGCCTGCTGGCTAGCCCCACACTGGAGCACCCTTGTGCCCCAGCCAGCCCCTCTGCAGCATGTTGAGCTGGCTCAGAGTAGCCCCAGGCTGACTCCCTGGGCCCCCTGCCAGCCGGGGCTGCTCTGACCTGGCTCAACATGCTGTGGTCCCAGGCGCATGTGTAAACATGGTGCCTAGGAGCAATAAACTCCTGCTCAATATACACTGGAGATTATTGTGTCCTATTACTTTCACGTGTAGACCTGCCCTCAGTGAAGGTGGCAAATGCGCAGAGGATGCATTAAGCCAATTCATTTCCAAGGTGTATTAGTTATACCATTCCTCTTAACTGTGGCTACAGTGTTAAATTTGGACCTTGCCATCAGAGACAGATTACAGACAGTTTGTATTGCTTGGGTGCTGAAACCTGCACTCTATCAGGAGCACCCAGAGAAACTGATGATTGTCTCGAAACAGTCTTGATGGAAACTGCAGCTAAGAAAGTAATCTCAATAGAAGAACGGTTATTCCTGGAGGTTGTACATTTTGTTGCTGCTTGGAAGTGATTTTGATCTGTGACTAAAACTATTATACGCAATTGGAGCATACAATTCTGAAAGGAGGTTTTAAAATTGTTTTTACTGCAGTCTGAAAAATAAGCGGGAAACAAATTGTAATTGTTTTCTGTTAAATGCAAACTTTGTGGGTTTATTAAAAATATTTAGCAATTTGAATAGCAGCCATAAATATGCATACACACATCTTTTTAATTAAAAAAGTCTGAACATTATCTAAGTAGAATACTTCTACTCTATTAGAAAACAATGGTTTAGTGCAGATGCCACTTCATTTAAAATTAACTATTTTATTTTTAAATAGAAAAATAGTACATTATTTAGATGTACTACATAAATGGCAAAAGTTGCTTTGAATGTTCTTCATACAAAAGAATGTAGGGGTTATGGATACACTGCAGTAGGTTTATTACAAATATTTTCCAGCAAGAGCTGACCACTTGTAAGGTATCCTTCCATTTTAGAGAAATATGCCCAAACTCCAACAAAGTGTAACCAATCTCAAATCCTGCATTTTATTTTGGTGTACTAGGAATCTCATCTTGGAGTGTAAGCCAAACAATCACAATTCCAGGTTGTGCAATGGAAGCCACGCTGGATGTCATCCCTTCATGGACAGAATGTAACTGTTGTCTCCTTTTAATGGGACATTACACTGCCAGATGAAGAGGAGAATCTGCTTGCTGATTAGGGCCATGAACACTATCGGCTAAATGCAGAAGCAACTAGGTTGCTATTTAGGGACAAAAGATGCACTTTAACAGCCAGAGTGAAAAAAAATCCTATGTTGAAGTTCAAGGAAAGATGGTAATTTGTTTCACTTGTAATTTTCAGGGGAAAAAAAAGTAAAACCTGATAAAATAATGCAATTGTATTTTCAAGTTTGGTATTATATTTTGCAACAATCTCCCTTCAAAAAAAAGGTGGGGGGCTCAGTTAATTTATGATAATAATACAAGACTGCAATCCACATATGAAGTTCAATGGGAGTACCAATGCAATTTAATTTATTAAACCCAAATCTATTCAGTTGTTAATGTTTGTTACTGCACCACCTTACTTCTATAACTGACTCTGTAGATTGTGGGTAATGCAGTCTGAACCATCCTGTTAGTTTATCATGAGTCTACATAAAATATTATAAACAAAACCACTCAAACTAAATAATAAAATATTTACTGTAGAAAGAAGCTTATCTTGGGACCGTCTCTTTGTCCTTTTGTTTTCAAATCTAGGCTGCTAATTTACTGCATTTGAAAGGCACCAAAAGAAGCAAAGAAAAAAAAAAGTAAACACGTCCCAATACAGTAGGTTTTCACAATTGGGCAGCTTATCTGTCTCTGACAGAGTGCAGATAAAATATAACAGCAGGCTGTGCAAAAAAGGAATGAATCAGGAGCTGCATAGTTGTGGAATGTCTGTTGTTCATGCTGCTTTCATTGTGCCATTTCAGAAGTGCTGGAGTCTGAAGTTCCTTCAGTTAAATGAACTTTCTTACATGCAGACTCAATAAGTTCATCTCCATGTTCTCTGTTGTTCATGAGATTGTGGTCTTCCCTCTTGCGTTTTTTAATCAGGTGGTTTTCTCCCTCACCCAACTTCCCCTCTGGGAGACCCAGTGTCCTTAGGCAGACAATAGCTGCAGCCTGTTCTGCCAACTTCTTTGACTTGTCCCTGAAGAGCAGAACAGAGCACAGGTGAAAGTAGAACTGAAACCCGAATACTGCCACACATAACACCGCCTGCCTGAAAGAATTTCTTGGGTCTGATGCAACACAGTGAAACAACAGTGTGGGATCTTTCTGGCAGTTTGACAGGTAGAGAACAAAGAAGTTCAGTTTCAAAGGTGTACTTGGGTTTGCTCAGCTAGCACAGTTCACGTGCCATTGTAAACAGGAAAATGTTTTCTAAGAATATTGGACCAAATCTGTCAATCAAAACGATTTCTCTCAGAAGGTATGAAACCAATGGGATTTTGGGACAAATGTTGTGGTCCTCAGCTAAACTAACACTAAAATTATAAATCTGAACTAAAGCCCAGACAGTTTTAAAGGATCTCTTTATGGAAAGATTACCCAGATCTAAATTCATCCCCTGAATGATACAAGTCCAAAGAAGTCAACGTAAAAAGTAGACAGAACTCCATCTGGACTGAAAGCCCCCAGTGAGGTTCTGGAGTTGGGTGTTATATAAGTCTTGAAACTTAAAAGTTAAAAGGCTCACTTCTCAAAACTTTTCTTTAGTTGAGCATGGAATGTCTCTCATGCTGACTGACAATCAGAGTGCTGTAAGAACAATAACAAAATAATCTGGTGTCTGTTGCATATATCTATCCCTTTTTAATATGTCTAATGCTTGAACTTAGATTTACAGTTTATCAAGTGCAATCCTAGACAGAAATGTCTGAGACAAACTCTAGGGATTTCTAGAATTTATATAAAATTATACAGAATATTACTGTGGAATCGTACAGCATTGTTGATGCAGATACTGATTCACTGCATGATTTCCAAAAAGCAAGTTATCTGGTCTTTGCCTTGAATGTATTTATAGAATGAGCATAATGCTTATTCATCAAGGTGCATCGTACATTACATGGATGAAAACTGCTTTATTTTTCGAGACTTTTATAACACTGGAGTTTCAGATTCAGTCTCACTATCCAATAAATTAATCTGGGTATTAGTTCAAACCTCACACACATTTTTTATTTGTTTGTTTGTTTTAAACAGTCTTGGTAGAGGGAACATTTTTTAAGGTTGCTACATTAGTGCTTTTATACTCTGTTTTCTTTATTTCACTAGATTACTGCAGGCATTCATAATATTCAGAGAGAGCAGAGTAACTGTAAGAGATTATGAATTTGTAAATACTCTTATATCAGTTCCAGATTTACAGTTGAATCTAGCACCCCCTGAATTTTGAAAAATCTAGTTCCCAATGAGAGAGCTCCTCCTAGCTTCCAAGTGAGAAGAAATGAGTGTGATCTGTAGTAATCATACAGAAAAGTTTGTGTAGATCTCACACCATGTACAGTAAGTGCAGTCAAACAGAGGACTAACAATGCAAATGTAAAGGTATTTTAGAATCAATTGATTTAATTACAGTATATCTACATTTTATTTTCTTTCTCATATACTGTAACAAACCAACATTTTAGTAAATCTGTTTAATAAAATGAATGTAATTACAAAGTAATCAAATCTGATGTACAGAGCACTATATATCACTAAATACTAGATAGAGATTATAAGAATGCTGCTAGGGCACAGCTCTTTTGTTCTATAGACCAGCAAGTGCTCTAGGGCAAATGTGTGATGTTGTTGCCAACTGGATAATATTCTTGTCCTCAGCCCCCAAAAAGGGAAGTTTTGCTGCTAGGCAGAAGTCACTGTTTGAAGGATTGTCTTTCTTTCCTCATCTACTCTGTGTACTGAGGGGATTTTATGATGGTAGCAAATAGGATTAAGAAGCATGGTATCACTGAGAAAGCTCTCTCCATGAAAAGCTCTTAGCCCTAAGAATGTAGTTTCATAGTTTCATAGATTTAGGGTCGGAAGGGACCTAGTAGATCTTCTAGCCCGACCCCCCGCCAGGGCGGGAGAACTACAAAACCCCAAAACAAAAACGGGACTCAAATGAGTCCAGCCAGGTAGGCATCCAGCCTCTTCTTAAAGACCCCCAGGGTAGGGGCCAGCACCACTTCCCTTGGAAGTTGGTTCCAGCTCCTAGCCGCCCTAACTGTGAAGTAGTTTTTGCGGATGTCCAATCTATACCTCCTCTCCATCAACTTGTGCCCATTACTCCTTGTTATGCCAGCGGGCGCTAGGGGAAACAGCGTCTCCCCCAAACCCTTCTGGTCCCCCCTAGTGAGTTTATAGACGGTCACCAGGTCCCCCCTCAGCCTTCTCTTGTGGAGGCTGAATAGGTTCAGGTCCCGCAGGCTCTCACTGTAGGGTCTGCCCTGTTGTCCCCGGATCATGCGGGTGGCCCTCCGCTGGACCCTCTCCATGTTGTCCACATCCCTCTTGAAATGGGGCACACAAAACTGGACACAATACTCCAGCTGTGGCCTGACCAGTATCGCATAGAGGGGGAGGATCACCTCCTTGGCTTTACTCGAGATGCAGGTTTTTTCCAGCTGCACAATTTAAAATACTCAGCATTACAAGTCTCTGCCACAGACCACCTTGTGGACAATTGCGATATACATCTATGCTAACATAATATTCACCTCCTAAGATTCCTCCATTGGAGAAGATGCCTCTGGCTCTGAAGAGCTCTCAACTGTGGGACTTACTTCTCTTTGGCACAGGTGTATCATTCTATTGTTCTGAAAAATTTCAAAGGTTTTCCTCCTCTCAGAGGCAGCTCTAAGAGTAAAGCTTAGTATTCTTTCTTTGCCAGGTCTAAGCGCGCAAGCACATGCCACATTCTTGCATATCACTCTTGCGTATTAAATGTACAAGAGTATACCACAGAAATAATTTTACTAAATTTACTAAAGTTTATAATTTTACTACAGTCTAGTTGCAAAATATATCATAGGTGACTTACCATAAACTTGATCTGTATTTTTGCTCAGCTACTGTGACAACTGAACAGAATAATTTATCTAGCGGTCTTTGAACCTAGAGAATAAAAAGAATTAAAGATGCCAATTGACAGAAACTACTACAAATTATAAAATGAGAAACAACATCAAGATTCCTTATTAGTCCTGTCTTTACACTAGGAACAAACAACATATTACAATTCTAAGCTACAAATTTCCCCTTACATGTTCAAGACATTCAAGGAATGACTTGTCCAAGCTGCAGATGCTTCCAAAATGGCCATATAGGAACATAACAATTGTTCTTATCTAGCTTATCTCTGCAGTGTCATCACAAAATTATAATCTTTAATATGCTGTTATATGTGCATTTAAAAATGCTTACGATCTAGACACAGTCCTGAGGACTTACTGAACTGGAGTTCATCTTTTTTGTCTAAGGCTCCCTGAATTCCATAAGTAAGCTCTGTGAAGTATAATTAATAAAGCTCATCAAAAACCCTAACTGTACTGGTCATAGAACTATTCCACAATTGGCAATTTTCTTCTAAGTAGTCAAGACTGACACAGCAATGGGAGGGATCTGAAGATAACGACTGAACAATATTGACAGAATTTCATGGGAGAAGTTTGCCAGGTATCTACCTAAACTAAATAACTCCGCTCTCTCATGTTTATCAAGTGACCCACTTATTTAATACAGGAACACAAAGAAGACACTTTGTCACTTGAAGTTAAAAAGAAGTTAAATTTCATGCCTAAAGACACACAATTCTATGCCGCAAAAATATGCCCATAACTTCTGGGGATGTCATGCTAATTGTCACGCATACAAGCTGTCTAGGAACAGTAGCAAAACAACCACAGCGTAAGAGGAACTTTTTAATAAACTTTTTATTTTATTTCAAATCAATTAACCCAGTTTCTTGAGAATCTCAAGACATCATGGCATAATGTACTGTCTAAAGAACTAGCATGGACTTTGGGGGAGAAATGCAGGAACTCACAGTTTCATAAACAGGTTGAGGGTGCTTCTCTTTCCTACACCACTCCAAGAGATACATTTTCGGAGTAATCTGTGGTGGATACTCTCGCCTAGAGAGGCAAAGGAAAAACTGAAACACAAAGGTACCCTACCATACTGAAATAAAGAATTCTCTCATGCATATTGCATGGGTTTGCATAAATAGAACAGACACATTGTCAGAGAGGTAGTTAGCTGTGTTAGTCTGAAGTCTGGCAGAAGGCAGGGTAGAGATACACCTTATAGACTATTCAGCTAGTCCAGTGATACTGTCTTTGTCCCAATGGGCTGGATGAGTGGTACAGGGCCAGATTCAGGCCCTGCACTACCGCTGCCTGGCCCCACACACCAGGATAAGGCCCTCAGCCACCACATTTTCAGACCCAGGAGAAGCCCCATGGTCCAGATTACATGGCTCCACAGGCTTGGGGGGTTGAGCACCCCTGAGCTAGTCTTTAAGGTGTCTCTCTACCCTGCCTTCTGCCAGACGTGTATTAAGGTACACAGCTAATTTTATACATATAGGGCTGCAATTTATTCATTTATTTTTTTTACTAGTTTTTTAATTTTATTTTTAATTTTAAAACTTCTAAGTGATAAGCCCTCCATTTCTTTCTCAGAAGTCTGCTCCAATAACACATTTTAAATGGTATCTAAAATAACATTAAATATTATTTCCCAGAGAAGTCTTTCTTTCCCATCTTCCTGTTCACTTGGTGTAAGCAGGGGGTCAATGAAAGGGTGCTAACTGAAAAGTAGATACATATCTTTCTTAAACATTCTTTAGTGGTGGCTTAAATGATTTCCTATAAAAACTTGCTTTCTTGGGGGGGGGGACAGGGGACAGGGGAGGAGACTCTGAGACTGCTTTCTACTGTGTACACCATACATTCCTGCAGAAACTTCCTTGTAGAATACAATATAAATATTAGAACACTATAACATGACTTTATTAAATCTCACTCTATAAAGTTTTAAAGACATAACAAAGTTTTATCAGGTTTTTTTTGGCATGCATGCACTTAAACCTTGCTGTAATTCAAGATTTTGTGTTATTTAATAAAAAATGGGGAAAGTGAGCCCAGAATAGGGATCACTGACACTGACTTAGAAACTAACTGATATGAGAAAAATGATGAAGATGTTGATTTAATCAAGTGCTGCATGAAATGCCTCTTTGTACAAAACCTATCCAGTAACTATTGTAATATCTGAACAGTCAACTTCCAGAATGATAAAGTGGGGAAAATTCTATCAGTTAGCAAAATCAGATACATGTGTAAATGAAATGTTAGAAAAAGTGATGAATGATAAACTTTGTATGCTTACTTGTCAAACCGAACAGCCATTTTTATTACATCTGTGTCTTCTACCTGATCCCCTTCATCTTGCGTTTTAGTTTCTAATGATACCTTCTTAGCTTCCAGAATGGCTATTGTTTCTTTATAGAAACCACTCATTTCAAAGACTTCACTATTAAAAAAATATATATTTGTTAGCATTGTTAGAGTTCAACATAAAAATTTTCATATCTAATTAGCAGAAATACAATTTTTTTTCCTAAATGAGTTGTATTTACTTAGAAAATTACGTTAAGGGGCAGTTAAATTCCACCAAGTGACACAGATAGTCATAGGGGTCTAAAATCATTTTTTTCTCTGTGACTTCATACAAAATTTGCTCACTTTACAAGGAAAAAGGTAAATAATCCTCTCTGTTTGCCCCACAGCCTCAAGCTGGCTTCTGAAAGTCAAGATAGAAGCCATCAAAAACACAGATTCTGCAATCTCAATTTAGTTTACAATTCCAGTGAGCCATGAAATCAGGAGAAAAACCAGTAGAGACAGCTAGCGCCGATCAGATCTTCAGAGCTACCAGTAGCAAAAAAAGGTAGTCAATGCATATATTGTAAATAATCCTGAGTTTTGTTTTTTAACCAGTTTCTCATATAAACGCTGCTCACCATGGGGTTAGGCAATCCGGAAGTAAAAAGAGTCCTGTATTCTCTACTATGGCCCTTGCTGGTGTAAGAGTAAAATTACATTACAGATGAATTATACTGGAGACAAAGCTCCGTAAAATTAACTAGGAAATAATTATAGGTTGAGCTGTGTAAAACTTTTTTCTGGCATAAATATATTAGCACATCCTCTAGCACTCAATGGGAATGAGAGCCCTGCATCAAGTTAAAAATTTCCATGGCTGCAGTTTATCACCACCGCCACTTGGCAGCAGTATTAAACAATATTAGCTACAGAGAAAGATATTTACTCAAATAAGAACTGTATGTTCTTCTGTTTTTGGGAGATAACAGTTCAAAAACACTGGTTTGGAAGGACCAGCTGTGAAACTAATTCCTGAACAATCTCTTTTTACATGCATAATTGTCCCTTCTTCCATTCATGGCTCATAGTTTCAATAGGGCATAGCACTAAACTATCAAAAACTGATACTGAGACTATCGCCCAGGACCACCCGAATGGAGGAAGTTTGCTGCAAAGATCTGGGTACTCTGAAACATTATGACGATAACAAGAGAGAAAGTGGGAGCAGCAAAAACAGCATGTTGCAGACCAAATCAAGAATTCAGAGCCACCCATCCCACACAGAAACAAGTGCCCGAGTTGCAACAGAGTGTTGATCCCATACTGGCCTCATTAGCCATCTTCAGACCCACAGATAAGACATTCATAGAAGACAATCATCCTTGACTCTGAGGGATTGCCGAAAAAGGAGAGGAGAAACTATCAGAAACTGATTATGTTCAAATAAGGAGGTGCCTACACTGGCAAGCAAAGTACATAAAACAAGGTATTTACAACCAAGTCTTCATTTTACAAATTGTATTTATGTGTGCTGCCAGAAGTGGGGCACTGACCACTCCCAGGGCTTTCAGATACACTGTTCCACGTTCATGCTGTGATTCAAAGCATGAGCTTGAATTTGAGTTTCCAACCTCCTGACCACCAGGATACGCTAGTATCCCCCTCAACCTCCCTACCACCAGAAATTCCTTCCTTGATTTAGGAAACCCTCTCAATGAAAGTTTTATCAAAACTAATCTTTAAAAATATGTTGTCAAAATTGTTTCCAAATAACATAAGAAAGTCTCCAAGCCAAAGAGTGTTATCATGACCTAGTGTTTCAGGTGAAAAATCAGCATGATTTTTTTAAATACCCTTTAGGTGATCTTTTTATGTTGTAAATGTGCAAAGAAATATTATTACTGGCTTTATAGTTCATTCTGCTCATTAAAATTAAAGATGAGTAGAACGCAGTTTTTTTCAGTGCAAACTATGTTTTTATATAGTAATTTACAAACCACTGGAAAAAAACAACATGTAGCATGTAAGCCTCCACTTTGGAGCCATTTTTCATGCTACCAAACCCAAACAGTTGGCGGACCTGCAATCCTTGGATTAAAACGTGATTCAGTGAAGTAAATGCCTCTCAATGTATTACCCAGTGAAACATGTATAATGTTTCAGGGGTTAAGCCAATCTTTGTGGGTCTTAGATGAAGAACTAACATGAGCAGCAAATTATCCTAGATCTAGAGGTTTCTTGCATGTTGCTTTGAAACACTGAAATGCTAGTCATAGCTGGAGACAGACTGTTGGTCTCAAGAAAGCTTACCAGATTTCTTGAGTAGACTGTGCAGCATGCAAGTTCTTTCCTTGGGTAGTTTCTAACTGTTCTCTTAACATCTGACACAGGCAATATTTTGTGTTGGTGTAGTGATTATCATATCTCACTGCCTGAAAGAAAGAGACAAGTAATCTATGAAATACACCAAAATAAACATTATATCTAATAACTAGCCATTCACATACTTCTTGCTGAATTTTTAAATGGATTATGGAATATACAGTAGAGTTCAGACAGTTCCTAGGAGGATACCAATGCCAGCTTAGTCATCTATTTGTGTTTGTTAACACAGTCCAGGAATGTTCTGTTAGTGTTTTTCAGAAAAAGAAGTCCAAACTGAAATGTAGTGGTTACTTACATGCTTGTGAACAAGATAAGGAAGTAGTTTACAACAATTTGCTTATTTACTAAGATGGATACATTTTACATAGAAAGTTTGACTAACTTGATTTTTTCATTAGGCATTCTTTGATTTTTCCCCCCATGTTTTAAGTAGGTCAGAGTTGTATAGGTTTCAGGGAGGAGGACTGGCATAAAAATAAGTAAATCTTTGCACTTAATGCAAATAATATCTTATGAGCAAAGGCTCTGATCCAGTAGGATACTTATATAAATAGTCTTACTAAAGTTAATGGCATTACTCCTGTGCACAAACATTTGCCTCATCAGGACACAAGTCATTGTTCAAGATACCATCTGTTTTACAATTATCACTTGAGGAACACTGCTACTTAATGACTGTAACAAAGGAAAGACAACAGTATGAGCCAAATTCACCTCTGATATAACTCTGATCACAATGGAAATATGTGCAGAGATGATTTCGGCACACATTTTACAGGAACTAAAATATTTTTTTATTTTAGTGATTAAGACACATTTTAGACTTTTAACTAGTTTATGTTGAACTTTTCTTGTTTTTTTTTAAAAAAGGAATTTGTTTTTGCAATGATTCAGAACATTTAAACTAGGAAAAAAACAGCTCTATTAAATTCCCCAAGGCAAATTAATTTAATCTGTTTTACTTGTATTCATAAATATTACATGCTAGATGTCTTATAAACCAAACTACAATGTGATGGTGTAATATTATTTTTACTGACCACTTTTCCCTCTTTAATTTTTTTCAAAAGTTAGAGAAACAACTTTATATTTTCTGTAACAGGAAACTAGCTCTCTAGAGTACTTTAAAGTTATTTTAAATAAACAAAGAATTTGAGAACAGTTTTCTCTGCACAACCACCTGGACAGAATTCATCTTTCTATTCTCTCTCAGCTTCATTCAGTATCACCAGGACTTTCACTGTTATAACAACACAGCTTTGGCACTCACGGGCCGCCTCTACATGTTACATGTATTACACAGTTACCTGGTTGTGTGATTTAGACCAGCTACATGTGCAAATTAACTATCATGCCATAAAACGTTCATCCAGCTATAAAGCTAGAGCTGGAAAATATGTACTCACTTTGTAGCTGGTTTCTATCCAACTTTAATAGGCACATGGAGCACAGCTGTGCCCATGGCTGGAAGCCCTGTCAGCTGATGGAGCTCCCAGCTGTGGGTGTACACCTCGTGCTGTAGTGGCTGGGAGTCCTGGAGCTCAAGGTATTCCAAGCCATGGCACTGTCCCATGGGCTGCTGTCAATAGGGTACTTGTCAGCTGACAAGACTCCCATCTGCAACAGCCTGTGGGCTGCTGCCACAGATGGAAGTCTCATCAGCTACAAGGCTTGCAGCAGTGGGAGCTCATGCAGGGGAAGCTCAGGATCATGATCCTGGGCTCCCCCTTCACTGGCAATAAGGCACGATAGGATCTGATCCTTGATCCAACAAGTACACCTCCTGCCATGGCAGGAGGCACAATTATGTGGATCATGCATTACATCCTATCACACCTTTACCTCAGTGCCTAGAGGGGCCCATGGTAATAGTTTTGCAGAAGTCCTCTTGAGCAACATGCCTGATATATAGTGCACACAGGCAAACAAAAAGTTGTATTCAAAAGAAAATTGTCTTCAAAATAAGAATTTGAAAAACTAATTTGTAATCATTCTGTTTTGCACAATGGTCAAAAATAAGCTCTATTAGTTGCAATGCAACAAGAAATTTAAAGCACTCAGCATAATCCATCACCTAACATCTCTAAGCAATGTTAAGTTCAAGTAGAAGTCTCCCAATACTTGCGTATTTTATGTATTCTTGCATGACATCCTTCAAGGGGCAAAGACCCTCTTTTCTGAAAATAGATGGGTTCCACATGGCAGCCCGAGCTATCATTACTGATGATGCCGCTGTTGTTTGCTGGAAGGCTTCAATGTCAGTATATTCTTTGATGAAGTCATGAGATCCTCCACTGAAAAGGAACATCATTGTTAAGATCTACAACTATTAATGTGACACCACAAGTTATGTTTAAAAAGTGTAGAGGACAATGTATTTCAATGTTAACGGAGTTATGATAAAGACCTCGGTTTCTGATATACTTTTGTTACGTCCATTTCTGATACAGTTTGTTCATAGGCTATACTTAGAGTCTAGCACAGTGATTATCAATTGGGGTGCCATGAGAACATGCCAAAGATGCTACGTGGTCAGCAATGCCACCGTGGGGTGAAACTGCCCCTGTTTTTAGGAGTGAGAAGCAGCTCCTGCCTGCATGACATTATTATACAGGCAGGTGAACTGCTTCTGTTGTAGTTCTTCACAGTTCAGCTCCAACACGCCTCCTGAAAACAGAGGCACACAAAGCATCTATGCTACGTGATGGCAACAACATTTATCTCCAGGCTGCTGCTGCTATGGGCTGATAATGCTCAATGCCTCCATTTTCAGAAGGCAGACTGAAGCAAAAATGGGAAAAGCTACAGGAGAACTGGTGTGCTTGCCCACATAACATTCGGGCAGGTGTGGCTTTCTCCCGCATCTGCCTCTCCATTTGGCTTCAATGTGCAGCACTGGGCTTGGAAGGACTCTGGCAAGAATGCACATTCCTGCCATAGCCACTTCCTGATATGGCTCTGGAAAAGGCATTCAGCACAGTTTCACCTGGATGTATCAACAGTGGCAGTGGGGTGAACAGAATATAATTATAATCATCTAATCAATTACTAACAGGTTAATTAATAACATTATATTTTATATGATATTTACATTAGTATTTTTAAATTGGGCCTGTGGCAGAATACCATCTTTGTCTCTCCCCAAACTCTGCTGACAATTTAGTTACTATGGTCCCTGCAGAGGGCAGATTCCTCTGGTCCCATCTGCTTCAGGTAACCCTGAGGTGTAACCTGAGCTGGATATATTCCTGAGGGAGGGGGGGAAACCTGCTCTCTCTGCCTACGTGACTGGCATCACATACCTGGGTGGGGGACTTAAACTCCCTATTGTTCTAAGCAATGCCAACATGACTGGGAGGGGGCCAAAGACCCTGCCAGTCTACCCAGCAACCAGTGATGCATTTCAAATTGGTTGGCTGGCAGCCAACAGTTGCTGGCCTTCATTGGATCAGGTAAATGAGGTCATAAGGGCTAAAAGTGAAGGACTGCCCAGGAGAAGGGGCAGTAGCCATGATGAGAACTCAGAGAGAAGCAGGACCACCTGAAACGCTCTCTCTCTCTCTTGAAACTCATGCTCAATGAACTGCTTGCCTCCAGATGGAATCTCCACCTGCTTCTGGATGATACTTGTTAGTAAGCTACTTGAGATCTAACTAGAGATATAGCTTGCAGTAACACAGCTACATAATCAAAGGCTACCATGCCACTGTTTGCTCTAAAGGTATTTCTCTGATATTGCTCTACACTGTACCATATTCCAAACCTACTCCTTGTAACCAATAAAGTTTTTCTTTGTACCTAGCATGGGAGACTTATTGGGAGAGGGTCTAGATTATGCCTTGGGGTCCCCTTGGTTCGGATGACTAAGGGAGACCACTGTTTGTGCTTCATATGGAGGGAAACACCCCAAGTTCTTGCAGTGGGTCAAGTACCCTCAAGGACTACTAGGCCAGTGTTTCCCAGAGGGCGCAGGTCCCAGATCACTCCAGACTCTGGGTGGTGGTGGTGTTACCCCCAGGCTTGCTGGTGTGCTCCAGGAAGGGGGTCGGCCGGACGTGAGGTGCCCCCAGGGAGGCGCACAAAGCCTGGAAGGTATTCAGGCACAGTGAGGTAAGTGGCTCAATGCAGGAGCACCCCCTACTGGCCCGCCACACTGCCAAATTCTGAAAAAGTTCTAGAGCTGTCTCCTGAGTCTCAAAAAGTTGAGAACCACTGGTGTAGAGATCCAACACATTCACTGACTTTAAAGCAGGCATACTGAAAACCATTAGATGAGGACTAAAAACTCAGGTAAGGAGCCTTTTGGGCTTAATTACTGAATTATTTGTATAACAAGTAACAAATGCTGCCAAGCATCTGGCATTTCTTTTCATTACAGTGCTTTGTTATCAGAAGAAAGAATATGTCTAATGGCCACAGATGGGCCTGGAGCTTTTTTAAACAAATGCAAAGTTAGTGTTGGTGCAAAGAGCTGGATCTGGAAAATTCACCCCTGTACATATTCAACAGAAAACACACAACCCAGGCAGAGATACTGCAAGCTTTCCTCACCATCTTGTCAATCTGCCTTGGCCCTGGTCTGGCAGGGCTCCAGAGGGAAGCATAGATTACTTTCAAGAATTTTTTGTTATAACATAAGGTAGGAATTTAAACTGAGAAAATTATACAGGTACAAACATGTGACATATTTCATGAAACTTGGGGGACACTTTTACTCCAGCTTAAAAGTGCTTTTATTTCGCTTAAGCTTGTGTTGGCTTGGGAAAGCTCTAAGGAAAAAGGCATTCACATATCAGAGTAAGAGACCGTCACGGGTCTACACGTCCAACTGCGTAACTAACCCTGTATACCGTATTTTCTCACATATAGTCCATGGGCTATATAAGTTTTTACAAACATGACGGATGGGTGCAGGCTATGCAGTCTTTAGGACAGTCTTTAATGAAAATTGAAACATATAAATGTCTAAATAACGTTCAAACCCAATTGGGAGCCTCTTCTTCTTCGCTGGCTGGAAAACCTTCAAAGTCCGTTTCGTAACTTGATTCGCTGAAATACTTATCTACAAAAGCAGCGTCATCAAGTTCATCAGTGTAGTCTTCCGAATCGGTGTAGCCTGACTCCTCACCCGATGCGCCGTCCAGGATTCCGGCTTTAAAGAAGCTGTTGATTATAGAGCTTGGTTTCACAGCTCTCCAGGCCGCAACGATACAGTTACAAACTTCTGTATAGGTGGCTTGTCGCTGTTTTCCAGATGGGGTGAATGAATGAACACCCTGGCTCATCCATTTTTCCCACTCCTTTCTCATGAAACATTTGAACGAATGGTTGGCGGAGATATCCAATGGTTGGAGCTTACAGGTGAGTCCTCCAGGAATTACAGCAATATGCACTGCGGCTTTATTTATTTGTTTCTGAACACTAGAGTGCTTATGCACTGCCATCGCATCAAAAATTAGCAAAGATTTAGATGCGAAAAACCTGCCTTGCCGTGCTTGAAAACAGCTGACTTGACGAGTTGCTAGGATGTTGAATGAAATCAGTACTTCATCCATGTTAATTATGTCTGCAAAACATACACTATGCACTCTGCACTCCTTATGCACAAAATCACGAAATTTTGTTAATTTTTCTTTCCAGTCATCTGGCAGTTTTTGCCCTACTGTAGTGCATGAACAAACAGCTAAATTTTTTCTGCACATAAATGTATGTACCCAATTACAACCACCCCCAAAGTCTGTTATTTTCATCTCATTTGCCAAAACGCGGGCCTTCTGCCAAATTGCAATGGTTGACACAACTTTGTTGCTTTCTTGTTGCGCAACAACCCACTCTTTCAGGTTAGCTTCTAGAGTTGGCCATTTACAATGCTTACCTCTGCGAGCGCGCTTTCTTGGATTCAGAGTTTTCAGATGTTTTCTTCTTTTCGCCATTCTCGCACTGATTTTTCATCCACAGAGAATTCTCGAGCAGCTGCGTGATTGCCGTGTTTCTTGGTGTAATCGATAACGGACAATTTGAAGTCAAATGTGTACGATTTTCTCTTGGGCATTTTCAAATGAATTATGCAAGGGTAGGATTGAACCCTGTGGGTTAGTGAGATAGGGAGGTTGGGTAAATTCATAGGCAATCAGTCGCCTTTACTGACTGGAGTTTCTGGTAACTGTAGCAGCATCAACTTCGTGATGAACAAGACTACGGGAAGGCCGAAATCAGTTGTTGATAACTAAAACACACTTGAGCAGATGTTACAAGTTGACAGTAATAATTAGTGCTCAAATGGCAAACATTCTGGTAATACTTAACAACTAATTAAGCACCTCTCAGGCTTAATAGGTTTAAAATGGCCCCTGGCACCGATACTACCAGATGCAGGGAATACATGGGTGCAGTCTATACACGGACTATTTTCCGAAAATACAATTTTCCGTGGGTTATACATTGGTGTGGGTTATATCAGTGTGCGGGCTATATGTGAGAAAATATGGTAATTGGTAAAACTTTCCTACATAGACATGGCCTCAGTCATTACCTGCTTGATGATACTGCCAACAAAATACCAGCTCAGATGGTGGCTATATGATAGAAATTGGAAAGCTGGCTGAAGACAATGTGTCAAATGGCTCACCAAAAAGCTGTGATGACTGTTTAAAATTAGGTTCTCCCCACTTATGAAGACGACAAAACAAAAATCCATACTTTGCTTTACCACCCTTATGAACAGTTTATATGAACATTCCATTTTCAGAAGACAAATTTGAAAACAAGCTTTATTGCTTTTTTTCTTTTTCCTTTTGCACACTCATTCTTTGCAGGTTCAGTTGTTTACTAACCGTGGTTAAAAGGTCAAGGGGTATCTCAAAAATATTGACCTGTTAAGTTTACAATAAAGTTATTTTTCAACATAGGTTTGATATACTGCATTCAAAGTTGTAAGGTCAAATTTATTTGACCATCAGAAAAGAAAATGCACTATAGACACAATCTGCTATTGGAAGGAATTCATATATACAATGAAAACAAGCTATAGCATATTCTTTTTTAAAAACATGGTTAACAGAACAGGATTTAACTGTTTACTTCTATACGTAGAAGCCTTGCATTGAGAAAAGAGCTGAAATGATGTGTTGATTGATTAGAAACATTTCCCCTCCCCGCCCAACAACGGATCTTTGGCATGTTTGTTTTCTAATTGCACACATCTCCTACAGACAGAAGGGGAAGCAAACTCATACAACTTGATGTTTATGTTAGATGTATAAAAACTAAGAAAAATGGTTACACTTTTTTTTTTTTTAAATCTGGGCAGCCAAAGAATGCAATAAATCAGGGAAGGTCTCAATCAAAGTATGCAGGTCACTGGAAACCCTATTTTGCAATTGTAAACTTCACAGTAACCTTCACTTTGCACCACCCTGGTTTAGGACATCCACATGCTGCTGAAAACCAGGTCAGTTTATTCTGGATGCCATTTCTTCATGCCAAAGTGTGCAATAACTTAGCTCATGCCACCACGTGGAAAAGGGCTAACAAGGGGAGAACCATCAAGTGCTATTAAAGCCAAATGACTTCCTGTACTGAAGCAATGTTTTGTCCACTAACAGGTTTGTGTGACTTAGAGCCTCTGACTTTACTCAATCTGGGAGAAGGGGACTAGAACTCCCCAGTCTAACTATCTGGCTGGGGCACTTACAGTTTCCCTACATGACTGAAGAGGACAGGACTTTATTTACTGAGGCTACCCTTTACAGCAAAAGGATATTTCATTGCCACTTCTAAATAGGGGACAGAGTTATAGCTGGAGATATTCCTTTTTAAACTTAAGTGCTAACCAAGAGAAATAAGGTAATATTCAGGATGGCTTCTTGTGTATAACTTTATAAATCTCGTTTTCAAAATGCTGGGGAGTAGCAGTGGTTGGTCCCAGAGCAGTAGCCACACGTGGAATGGCAACACATGGTGGTTGATGGCAGTGGTAGCTGCTGCATGCAAGCTTCCCCCTCCAAGTCTGGGGGTAGCAGTGGGAGGTTGTGGAGTGCTAGGGGTGGTGAGGGGTGGGGGGAAGAGTAGCAGTGGCTGGTCCTGGAGTAGTGGCTGTACATAGTTTAAAAAACCTGTAATTTTCAAATTTCCAGTAGGTGCTAGGTCCCAAGGATGCCGGATTTATGAGTTTATATTGTATTATTACAGAACACCACAAAAGCTCAGTTGCTATGGTAAACAGTTTAGCATCTCTTTTCTATTTTACTAGTCTGTTGTCCCTGGAAGGTTTTAACTTGGAAAAAAAAAAAGGTGGACTCTGGGGATCATGCTTCAGCAACTGTAGTCTCAAATAGGCTTCTGGGGTGTAGGCCACTGGACTGCAAGGTTACATTAGAGTGTCATGTCTGGGTTTTAACCTGGGGCATTCCCAAAAAGACATAAAGAAAGGAACAATGACAAGGGTGTTTAGAAACTTGGACCTAAGGTGTTTAGAAACTTGTGATATTCAACAACTGGATCCAACTGCAGATTTGTGTCCTTCCACAGAGAATAAGCAAGGCTGTGACATGACAGCAGTAGCATTTGAAACATAGTTAAGGAGCTATTTGTAAACCCCAAACCAGTTACAATACTATTTCAGAAGACCAGCTTTGGAAGTCCACCACCACAGACTACTTAGAGCCCTTAGGTCCCTATATACCTTACCTTACATTTTCTCCACTTAATTTTTGCTTGTAAGTTGCTGGGAATGTGATTTGCTAAATATAGATACCTTTAAATAACCGACTAACTAGTCCAACTTACTTAGCTATAACTGGAACAGAGACTGCCTCAGAGATGGCTTTAATCACATCGCAGTGGACAGGATGTTGAGGCCTCTCCTCCTTCTTCCTTTTCAACAAAGAAAAAAAAGAAAAGATCAAAGATTTTTGGTGGAAGTTGTGTGCAAGTAAACTCTTAGCAAACATTACCTGCAGTTTATACTGTCATTCATGGTGTAAAGCTACAAATAGGGGAAAAATTCTGTTATCCCAAACACTTTATTGCTGTAGGAGTAAATTTAGTTGGCTTAAAACTTAGAGAGGGGGAGGATTCCTTTGAAACAGACAAG